GTTCAAAAGGGAACATACACAAAGGTCTTCCTCTCATCCCTATTTTTTAGCTGTTTACGTATCTTCACTAAAGACAACCAACTTCATTGGGGGGTTGTGATTTCAGAGATATTTTATGCATATACAATCAAATATGCAAAAATACTCTGCTTTACTTTTAATACAAATGATAGACTACTACATATATTTTTCTGTACTTCGATTTTTTTCCATTTCATATATCTTGGAGATTATTCTAAGATATAATTTTTTTAGATAAAGTTGTAAGGGTTTGTTCTTTTATTTTTATTTTTTAAATTATTTTAAATTCTTGATAATTGAGAAATTAAAACATGTACACAAACAGATTCCAATTTACCCACTATCCAACTTCAACAATTATCAACTCAAGGTCAGTTATCGACTCAAACCAATTATCAACTCAAGGCTGACCACTCCTTATCATTTTTTAAGAATAGAGTTATAATTAACATACAGTATTATATTCATTTCAAGTGTACAACATCGTGATTCAATATTTTTATACTTTATAACATAATCACCACAAAAAGTCCAGTTATCATCCATCTGTCACCATACAAAGTTGTTACGATATTATTGACTATATTTCCTTATGTATACATTACATCCCTGTGATTTATTTATTATATAACTGGAGGTTTTTACCTCTTAATTACCGTTCACCTGTTTCATCTGTCCCCACCCACCCCCTCTGGCAACCACCAGTTAATTCTCTGTATCTATGAGTCTGTTTCTGTTTCATTGTTTGTTTGTTTTCCAGATTCCACATATAAGTGAAATCATAGGGTATTTATCTTTCTCTGTCTGACTTACTTCACTTAGCATAATAGAGGGTTTGTTACTTTAAAATGCCTTATTTAAAGTAAGCTTTTCCCTTGCTGTAGTTATTTGTTTTTATTTTAATATTAATATATTATTCAATATCACATAATTTTAAAGTTAAAATATTTTAAAAGTTAACATAGACCACTAGATGGTGCTGTCATCACAAAGAAATGAAAAGTATACATAGTATTTTTAAAATAATTTGCACACTGTAAGGAAAAAACCCAACTACTATAAAACTGTACAAAGCAAAAAGTATAGGCTAAATTTCTAAGTACTATTCTCCAAAGGCAGTCAATGATAACATGGACACTCTTCTCTCTTCCCAGTTATTTTATCCATACTTGTATATCTATATCTATATATTAATTTCTCAATTATCTATATATTCTTTAATAAAAAATCTCATACACACGTTGTTATTTTGAAACTTACTTTTTTAAACCTAATAATATATCATGGAGTTCTTTCCATGCCAGTACATATAATTAATTTCATTCTTCAGTAAAATGTGTCGAGAAAATGGTTTTCAAGGATCAGAATATTATAAAAGGTTACAATGATATGTTACTTGTATAATTATTGTACTTATTTCATGAGATGTTATTTGTTATAATTGAGTTCATTGCTCATAATAGACATTTAGGCCGTTTCTGAATTTTTGCTTATCCAAACAATAGTGCAGAAAACACCCTTGTGCCTTTATCCTGGCGCGCTGGCTGCAGAAGTCCACGTTGACGTCATTTTCTCTTGGAAGCTTAGAGGCACGATCTCCTTGACTTAAAGCTTCTAGCCTTGCTGTTGAGCAGTCAAACGTGCCATTCTTATTCCTGATTCCACGTAAACCCTTGGAATCTGATCTGTTCTCTCTGCCCATCCCACTCCCTTTCTCGGCTTTAGGGACCGTGTCTTCTGAACACTCTTGACCATGTCCCTGGGTGCCATTCTTTTCTTCCAAACATTGTTTTGGGACCTCAGTGAGCCCTTTCAGTCCTTCTTAGAAAATGTTCTTGATTAGTTCTTTGATAATTTCCTCCCCTCCATTTTCTTTCAAGAATTCCTATTATTCAGATTAATAATCCTATCAGACAGGGTCTACATTGTAAAAAATATTGCTCTCTTCTATTTTTTTTATCTTTGTCTCTTTGTTCTATTCCTGCTTCATGTCCTCAACTTTATTTTCTAACCCTCTGGCTTTTTATTTCTGCAGTCGTATCCCTTTTTAAAAATTTATTAATTCTTATGTGCCATATAATAGATGAGACTGTGGATGAAAATGAGGTGAATCAAGCCGCAGCACTAAAATAAGGCTCAGATTCATGCTTTAGTCCTTCGTGGTGCTTTATGAGACCAGGTGTGGCATAACGGAGAGGGCGCTGGCTTAGGGGTCAGGAGGTTTACATTCCTATGCCAGGTAAGCCAATAATTAGTGGTGTCAGCGCATCTCTGGGTCTCATTCCTCATTTATTCGTTAATTTATTCAGCAGATATTGTACTCAACTATTACTATGAGTCAGGCACCAGGTTGTAAGAAGAGAATGTTGAACCAGACGGTGTCTGAGGTGTTTTCCTCCCTCTGAAATTCCAAAGCCCTTGGATTCTACCTCTTAGCTGGTTCCTTCCTTTCTTTCCCTACTTTCACCACCTGAGGTCAGGACCTTACCTTCTATTGAATAAATTTCTGCACCATCTCTTAGCTGGTTTTTTGATGTCACAGCAGGAAAGACTAGGGAAGGAGGAGAGGAAGCAGGGCACATGGCATGATTCAGTGAGCCTGTGGGATTTTGGAGTTTTCTAGTCTCACCCCATATTGCTGCCGTCAATTTTTACAGATTTTAAATTTTAAAATAAAATTATTTTAAAATAATTTTACAGAGCTTTCTCCTTTTCTAGTGGGATCACCAACTCTCCTGGTTTACCTGGGACTGTGAGTTTCCTGGGATGGGGGACACTCTGTGCTAAGACGGAGGCAGTCCAGGACAAACCAGGGTGGCGGTCACCCTACCTCTGGATATTCTTTTTTGGTAGCAGCTTTTTCTTTTTTCTTAGTTGCAATCATTGTTTTTTTCCCTCTGCAAATATTAATTATAAGACTTTTTTAAAGGTTTTTGTTTTTCATAGTACTATGTGTTGTCTCTGCTTCCTTTGAGCTCCTCTGGTTTACTTATTTTAGTCTCTCCTTTGCGTTGGAGGCTTTCCACAAATGTAACAGGCTGATCACATTTGTGAGTACTGACTGGATGCTCTAGGAGGTGGGTGGGGTCTGTCAGCCGCTGGGTTTTACTGTGGGACGACTGGGGAGGGACCTAGCATGTCACCGTGGGATTGCCAAACGTCAGCCTAGAGAGCCCCTTATTTTAGGCGGGCCAGTTTTTTGTTTGTTTGTTTGTTTTTTACATCTTTATTGGAGTATAACTGCTCCACAATGGTGTGTTAGCTTCCGCCCCATAACAAAGTGAATCAGCTACACACACACACACATGGTCCCATATCTCTTCCCTCCTGCGTCTCCCCGCCTCCCACCCTCCCTATCCCACCCCTCCAGGTGGTCACAAAGCACAGAGCTGATCTCCCTGTGCTATGTGTAGGCGGGCCAGTTTTCCCAAACAGAAATCCTCCATGTTGCTGCTGGGAGTCTGCCCTTCTGGGGGAGCAGGGTTCGGAGCAGAGGACGTAGTAAGCAGAAGTGTCCGGTGAGCAGAAAGTTCTGGTACGCGGGCTTCCGGGACTCCCCTTTTCTCAAGTAGGGGCTTCACTCTCTCTGTTGTGTCTCTGAGACTAAATGCTCTGTAGTTCAAACTTTTCAAGAATGTAAACCTCTCGTCTGCCCCTGTAGCTGGAGAGAGGTTCTTTCCTAGCTGTGTTGGAAGAGGAACAGTTTCTGGAAGTCAAACTGCTCTTTTAAGACGACTTTCATTTAATTCTCCAGATTTCAGCTTCAAACACTTGAAAGTCTCCTTGTCTTATTGAAAAACCTTGCAATGGTATCCTAGTTATTTCCTGGTTACCTCCTAATGCCTGTCCTTAAGCCCCCTCCCCAAACTAGCTCCCACAAGCCCGGCACAGTCCCAATTCAGGACACTTACGTTTGCTGTGCCGTCTTCCACCAGGTCCCTGCATGACTGGTCCCTCAGCTCCTTCAGTTTTTGCTCAAACGGCACCTTTTCAGCAAGGGCTTTCCAGATCCCCATACGTTAAGACACACTCCCCAGACCACGACTACCTACCTGTGTTCTGATCTTTTTCCACAGCCCTTGTGACATTATATATATATATATATATATATATATATATATATATATATATACACACACA